GATGTATATGCATATGTATATGTATATGTATATGTATATGTATATGTATATGTATATGTATATGTATATGTATATGTATATGTATATGTATATGTATATGTATATGTATATGTATATGTGTATATGTATACCTGTTTTAGGGTCTATTTACCGTAGTCCATGGAGCGACGTGGACCTTGGGGCTTGGGCTTGGGGCGGGGATGGGCACTGGGCGATGGGGTTGTGCTTTTGTTTTGCTGTAAAATTACTAAATTAAGTAAATATTTTCACGGCCGTCTCTAAATTTAATGGTCGCGAGCAGAAATCTCTTCCGACGACAATCGTAAATTTAGCAGAGACTCTATTTATCCGGAGGGCCGTGATATTTTCAGATAGTAAAATGATAAAACAATATACTCTCGTTGGGTTTTCAATAAAAATTATGTTGATAAGGCATGCAAATTATCGCAACCTTTATACCCAACAACTGTTTTTATTCGTTATGTGAGTGAGTATTATGGCTATCTATCTGCTGTGTACAAATGGCATTTTATTGAATACTGATTCTATTTGTTGAAATCAACAAAATTTATAATTTTTCTATTTTGGTTTATATGTAGAATTGTAGATACTGTGACACTGTGACTGGAGTACTAACCTCATTACGATAAAAGTTTATCTTGAATATAGTCCCATGGATTTACAAATAGGTACATATTTTGAGGCGGCCTAATAACTGTCACGAATTGTCCTGTTTTTCACTTTGTGTCAATTGTGAATAGTTTTAAATTAATTATAAAAGGTCAATTTCTCAGGGCAAATTTGGAAAGTCTCCGTGGTCGATTTGCCCCCGATATACTTTAAAACGCTTAAAAATAAAAACTTAAGTTTATTGCAAATAGGAAAAACGTATTGAGCTTAGCTGGAGTACACAGTAGACTTTAGAAACATTGTGTACCTGAGAGGCTGAGAACAGTACAAGTTGCGAACCCTGAGTACTCATTAGAGAGAGTAGTAGATGGGGCAATAAAACTATAACACATATCTATTAGTTCCCAGCGCAACGTGCATCACTTTTAAGAGCTAGATGAGCTCTCACAACTTCACAAGAAGTGTCAACTTCTGAAGAAGTCTCAAACTCGTCACTCAGCCCTCAGCTCTCAGCTTTCGCGGTAACTCCACTTATCTTATAAGTTCATCCTCGGCCCTCTTTAGTTGTCCACTTTTATAAGGACCAGTGGATCACCCAGGTGTCTCACACATGGGACTCCCAATACACCAAAATACTTCACACGATTTTGGTCATAACAATATTTATTAGTATATATTTTTAGGACAAATATAACAATAAAATAATAGTTCTTCAAGCTTTTAAAGAAAATTGGACATCTTAGGGCTGCCAGGACCTTGCTGGGCCCTGGCCCCTAAGCTCTTTAAGTTATGGAGGTACGGAATAAAAGTTCCAACTTAGATGTTAACTTTTTGATTTTTAAAAGTTATAACTTTTATTTAGGACATATCAACCACAATATTTTTTTTTGAAAATGCACTCAATAAGCTGCCCTATCGTTGCAAATTTTGGGTCTCGAAATCGATAATAGCCAATCAAAACAGATTGAGCGTGTCAGTTGTGATCGCCGTTGTAACGGTCAGGGATTCCATAATTCCATTTTGCAAAATTCGTCAGCAATTGAGATGGCAACAATTATGTATTTGCTATCAATTCAACACAATTAGAATGTTACACTCAGCTACAGTCACTGTTATTAACCTATGCTAAAACTCCCTTATAGGCACTTACTTAGCTTTCTAACACTCGCTCAACTCAGGCCTCAATAGATGCGGTCTGCTAATATGATAGATTAAACAGAATCTCCCGCTAGTTCAAAACTTAGTAAAATAAGCCAAGCATATAACTACAAACTACTATCCCAAGTTCTGCAGAGATGCATCGTGCCATTTCAAACCAACAGTCTTGTCTTTTTACACTTGATGACTGTTTCCAGTGAGATTGAGGGATGTGACGAGCTGGTTCATGCATTCCATTGGACTTATGAGAGTGGATTTGGACCGAATAAGGACAACATAGATGGACAGAATTCGAACAATACTGATGCCATCGACGCACAAAAAGTTGAATGATGCTGATGCCAACGATGAACAGTTTATGATGAACAACTGCAATGTGTGCTTTTGTATAGTATACTTCACAGAAACATCTGGCTCGCCAACCCGCTTTCCCTCCAACCGCCACAGCATCAGACCCTTGGTCCGTGTTCCCGGCGTCTTTCCCGACTGCCACAGCACCATTGCCCTGGTTGGTCACCCCCGCCCCGTTTGACATTCCTATGCTGCCCCCCAAATTGTTGCTGGGTATCTATTTTGTCCCGTTCCACACCAGAAAATCGTTCGTGTTGATTCCACTGTCCACGGTCGCACCGACGTATACCGGTGCCTGGGTGGGTGGGGCGCCGTAGACAACTTCTTTTAAAACGGAGTTGTAGTAGAGGACGTTGTCGGTAAGGTTAACATTGCGTATCGGGTCCACAAACAGACAGGTTGTACTAGAGTTCAGCGCAATTCCACTGGCATTAACAATAATACTTATGCGGCCTGCGAGGACTTACCCGCAAGCGTGCCAATTGCCACGGCATTAGACCCCTGGTTAGTTTCACCAGCATAGTTGCCGAGAGCCACAGCGTATTCGCCTTGGTTGCTGCGGCCCGTGTTCGAACCCACTGTAATAGCATTTTTCCCCTGGTCTGTCTCACCGAACTTGCTACCTACGGCGACGGCATTTGCGGCCTGTGAGCTGCGGCCTGTGAGCTGCGGCCGGCACTCTGTCCAGTGGCTGTGGTGCCACTTGACTGGTTTAGGCTACCTTCATTGTTTCCAACCGCAATTCCCGATGACGACTGATTAGTGTCACCGGCCTGTCGGTCAAGGCGGACATTTCTTGTTCCTACTGTCCATACCATTTTGTGTTGCTGAATTAACGTGATTATTTTATTTTAGGGCTTCTAATTTCATCGCTGATGAGTTTACAGAATGTGTACATTGTTCACAACAAGTGTTTCCAGCACAAACGGGCTTTTGTGCGATATCACAAATTGGCACCGCAGGCGCATCGGCGTGCACCGGCTCATTTTTGTTAAGGCTCTGCTTGTGGTCATGCTATCAGGCCAAAAATAGACCTCACCATTGCACACATGGTTGAACATGTGCATCCCCAAGTCTGTATTTTTACAAGTACCTAAAACAATTTAGCGGTGCTTCTTCGTTCGAGTACAACTCGCAGTCTACGATTGCAATACGCGGGCTACTGCCGTCTCTTGCATACTTTCCCTAGCTTTGAAACGCAGTAAACAGCAAAGCGACCCGTGTACAAAACGGACCGCGTTTGCAATAACGGGAGTGCGCGACAAGAAAGCCGGTTCGTCGAGATGTATACCGGGCACGAAACCCTCAAACAGGTCAATATATCTGCTTTCGCACAGAATGTTTTGCTTATCCAGTACATCGTGAGGTGTTGCCCTATACATGTACTGTTCGTCGAGAACGTGTCTTACACTCGTCAACTTGTCAAGTTTGTACACCCACGGAAGAAACCTGGAGCACTTGCGATTCAAAAACAGAAGAAGAAAAATTAATTCGGGTGATTAATTAGGCAACGGACATTTTCGAAGTATGCCATTAATTTCACGATGATATTGTGACTTGTATACTGTGAAAAAATCGTCCCT